GTACCAAACACACCTCCAACCTTTGAATATAATTTTTAGGGTTTACGGATGGGTCGGGAGATTGTGCGAATGAATTGGGAAAAAATCATTTTAATTTTGAATTTATGCTTAAATTTCACTTACTCATTCCCTCTCATTCCGGGTTGGATGGAATCCATGTCAAGATTAGTGAGTTGATGGTGATATGGAGTGTTGACCTCCAAAAATGGTTCCAACAGGCTCCCTAAGCTCGCCTCCTCGAAACTTGCGCAAGTAGCACCCCGTCAAGAGGCAAAGGCGGCCGGACAAGAAAAGGGTCCGACGACCGTTTACACTCCGACGGTCAAGTCAACGGCCGGACGGAGATAGATATATAGAGTGCAATAATATAGAGATGGAGGTTTGGCTAGAGAGTGTAGAACATACCTTGATTGTGTGAGTTGAATCCATATATATAGAGAAATGGATGTGAAGCGGCCATACGGGTTAGTGGGCCTAAGTCTGAGCCCAATACGAGGTGAGCAAAATAATAGGCGCCTCGGCAGGCGCTTCGGCTAGACTTCTTAGCGCTTCGGCTACGCCTCGGTTGGCCTTGTCAGAGCCTCGGCTTTGGGGCCCAACACTAATGGGCCTGGCTCGGGTTCAATAAGATGACCCAATATGGAGTGATAATTTATAGGCATAATAGTAGCCCCCCAAGTTCAAGTCGTATTATTTATATGCGGCTCGGACTTGAAATATAAACTTAGAAGCAGGCGAGATCTTACAGATTGTCTCAGAAAGATAGGTAGCTCCAATAAGTGAGGGCTTACGAACTACCTCAGAAAATGTGTGTCAGAATAAGCGAGGGCTTATGAATTGCCTCCAAAGATATACTGCACATATTTTTTGAAAATTTCGGCAGCATCTCCCCTGTAATATGGACTAAACCAATCCTGTAATACAATACAATATATCCACAACACATATACCAAATAAATTTGGGGTCCATTCGCCCCTTCAAATGCTCATAAGGTGTAACATATCACATTGCTCCAAAATATGTGCAGAGGATCTGTCATGCATTATAGAAAATTATGTGCTCGCACAACTCAGTGTATCGATAGTGCTATAGTGAAGCAAGTAACATGATGTCGACAATAAAATGAAAATAATTATGACACGACATACGTACTGGTTGTGATGAAAATAATGTATGACATGGTAACAGTAATGTGATGCGTATGCTAGCAGTAATATGCAGCCCCCAAGTCTGAGCCGAATATTTATATACGGGTCGGACTTGAAGTACCATTGTGATAAAGTTGATGTAGACGCGATGCTTTGAATGTAAGTAGCATAGGCGACAAGGGCGATGCGTTGGATGTAGTAGTAATGCTCTGATTGTAGTAGCAGAGGCGATGCTCTGATAGCAGAGGCTGTGCTCTGGACTGAATATAAGTAGCTGCACTGATATTGAAGCATATTGATGTATACTAGCCGTTGACTTTTTAATATCAGCTGAGTGTATGGTTGCTGCTGTGGTTGTAGGTTCAGCTGTCTCTACCGAAGCGCTAACTCATAGGATGAAGCATGGGAGATGCTAAAGGTTGTGAAGCTGAAGGTCGGGACACATCTTTGACTAAGGTGCTGAAGCTTCAATGTATGTTTGAGAAAGTAGCTCATCTGCGATCGATGCAGGAGATGGCTGAAGCCTTGTAAAGTTTAGGAGAGAACGCAGCCACTAAGGCGATGACCCATAGGGGACTCCGCGTCAGGTGCGTCTAGACTTTGTAAAGCTAAATAAGGAGCCCGTCTGCGATCGATGCAAGAGATGGCTGAAGGTCGGTAAAGCTTTCGCAACGCTACAGCCGAGGCGATGACCCATAGGGGACTCCGCGTCGGGAGGGTTGAAACTTTGTCAAGCTGCGGACAGCATTTGGTGAGGTGGGAGATAGACGTCTCGCAAATAAGTCTCGAACTATCATAGGCTTAGTGACTTGCCTCGGAATGACGAGGATTTAGAGTCAGGCTCGACAATAGTGAGAAGTGAGGAAAAGACATCTCGCGAAGCGAGAGATGAACATCTGACAAAATGTCGAACTATCGGAGTTTTTTAAGCTAACCTCAAGTGGACGAGGGCTTAAAGCTAAGCTCGACGATAGCGAAGCGAGGAAAAGACATCTCACGAAGCCATGAATAAATATCTAGCGAACTGTCGAACTATCGGAGTCTTAGTGGCTTGCCTCGAAATGAGGAGGACTTAGAGCCAAGCTCAGCGATAGTGAGGCGAGGAATAGTCTCGCTGAGCTAGGGATAAGCATATGACGAAGCGGGGAATAGACATCCCGCATATAACTGTCGAACTATTGGAGTCTTAGTGGCTTGCCTCGGAATGATGAGGACTTGGAGCCAAGCTCAACAATAGTGAGGCGAGGTATAGTCTCGCTGAGCCAGGGATAAGAATATGGCGAATTGGCGAACTCTCGGAGACTTATAAGCTGACCTCGGATAGACGAGAACTTAGATCTAGGCTCGACGATAATGAGGCAGGGAATAAGCATCCCGCGAAGCCAGGGATAAACATCTGGCGAAGTGTCGAACGATCGGAGTCTTATAAGCTGGCCTCGAATAAACGAGGTCTTAGAGCTAGGCTCGACGATAATGAGGCGGGGAATAAGCATCCCGTGAATAGGTCAGGAAATGCTCCTTTTGCAAGGGCGAGCACATCTGACAATTTGCCTCGTCCTTTATTCAAGGAACAAAGACATCAAAAAATATACCTCTTCCTTTATTCAAGAAACGAGGACTTATAACATATCGTCTCTTCCTTTTTTCAAGGAATGAGGACTAATAAAATTCTGTCTTGTATAATAAGAAATCTACGAGCTGGGGCTCATCTTCAATAAATAAAGAATTCACAAGCTAGCCTTGATGTGTGAGGGCTCGTCCTTAATAAATAAGGAAACTATATCCTGCTAAATCATGCTCCAATCCTAATGGAAGTAAGTGGTCTGTTGAAGACTTTAAGAAAAACCCATGTCTAATTGGTGACCTCGAACTAATATATTTCCAAGCATTAATTCTACATTTTATTGCCCTTGTTTGATTGTGGGTAGAAGTTTCGTGTGATGGCAATTTCAAATTTTGCAGGTAAAAAACAGCTTACAGCCACATTGCTATGAACGACTAGTGCACTTAGCTTCGGCCGATTTTCTCTTTTCATACACGACGCCATTAACATGGGCCACTAGAGGAGAGTAATTATCGAATTAAAATAATTAACATGAGCACCAAAATTTACCTCATGGATCTGCCCAGGTTAATGGTAGAGGCCAAAGTGGAAGAACCCAAAAGAATTGAAGCCTGGAAGAGCCGAAGTGTCCACCAAGCACAAATGCTTTAGTATAATAAGAAGAGCCGTGGGCCAAGAGAAAATAAATTTTTGAGTCCAATATTAGTGTGGTCCAATAAATCCTAGAGACCCAATTATTTGTACCCATTACTGTCTCGATTAGAGATTTCCAAGGCCTTTTGCTTTGTCAACAATTGGGCCAAATTCGGAAATTAATATCCAGCTATTCAATTGGGGAATTCAGCCCAACAAGAGGACAACAAGCTGCACGTGAAGTATCTGAAATTTGATGGAAATTTGACTGCAAAAGCCTACCCATCTAATGCTAGCAAAAGTCTTGAAAAATCTGAGATTGAGAGCTCGTTTGGCACGCCACCATCACTGTCACATTCAATGCTAATCTAAGGGACAAAATAGAAGAGGAGATCGGAGACCACCCATCATCTGCGACTTCAACGGTCTTGGTCGGAAGTGACAAAATGCAAGGCTACCAATGCTTCATTTTCTACCATCTGTTGCCATGGCAGTGGACAAAATGGCTGTAGTTTTTGGTGCTGAAATCAATGGTTTGGTCCGCTGTAGCAATACTTAGTTGTCGGAATTAGTCGTCTAACCGTGGTTTTATTTTCTTGTAGCAATGGGGTGAAGTCTTGACTGTTTTTTGGTGTCTTTCTTCTTGTCATTGGCTTCAATTTATGAGTAAAAGATTCCCCTATTTGCTGGAAAATATCCGGCAGATTTATTGCTTTCATTTGGGTCTTTTTTTGTCTTGTTTGCTGATGGATTTTCTCAAGAATATGGTGAATAATTTCAGCAATAGGGGGGGGGGGGGGGTAAAAAAAGCATCTTTTTGACATACCCACTGGTGCAAGTTTATTGGATAAATGGCCACTTCTTTCCTTCCCCTTTCTTTTTCGTTGTGGTTGCTTTGTAGTTCACTTGCTACTACCTTCATTTTTGCCGGAAAACCCAAGTTCGGACCAGCTTTCAATAGCCATTTCATGGTGGGTTTATTCAACCCCTTGGCTAGCTTTTTCCATTCATGCCGAAAATTCCCTTTTTCAAGGAATTTTTTCAAATGGTTCGGCTGCCATTTTTTCTCTTCTCCGGTTGATGATGTCTTCTGCTAGAAATAAAATTGTTTTTAGAAATGTTGTTGCCTTCTCTCTTTTGGTAGAACACTGCCACCCGAAAATATTTCAATTTCCGACGACCTTTAGGTATGTGATATAACATGGTTAACGTAGCGTTTCCCAAAAACGACGTCAATCTGTTGACCTCCAAAAATGACTCCAACAGGTTCCCTAGCCTCACCCCCTTGAAACCTGCGCAAGTAGCACCCCGTCAAGAGGCAAAGGCGGCCGAACGGAGATAGATATATAGAGTGCAATAGTATGGAGATGAGGGTTTGGCTAGAGAGTGTAGAACATACCTTGATTGTGTGAGTTGAATCCATATACATACAGAAATGGATGTGAAGCGGGCCAAACGGGTTAGTGGGCCTAAGTCTGAGCCCAATAGGAGGTGAGCAAATTAATAGGCGTCTCGGCAGGCGCTTCGGCTGCTCCTCGGTTGGCCTTGTCAGAGCCTCAGCTTTGAGGCCCAACACTAATGGGCCTGGCTCGGGTCCAATAAGATGACCCAATATAGAGTGAAAATTTATTGGCATAACATGGAGTAAAGTTGAGTGATTAATAATATAATTTAACAACTTTTTAAAATCACAATGGACAGAATCCTAGTTTGATTTCTCTGTTCATACAAATCAGATAACAGTTGAATGGATTTCCAATCAAAACCATTATAAACCCTAGAAATTACTTGATGAATCAATTCTTAATAACTCAACACCATTAATTCTTTTAAAGAAAAGTCAAATTTGGATGGTCAATCTTCCAGTTGTTTAAAGCTTAACACAAATCTCCAGGAGGCTCAGCAGGTTCGATTTAGTGTTTTGCCTCTTCTACATCTTGTTATAAATTTTTGTTATTTCTTCGATTATGTATGCTTTTGGGGTTATGTTTTTGTGCACTTTCCATTTGCTGATGCTCCAGCCATTTGATCCATCTGATTAAAAGGGAAAAGAACGGAAAAAAACGAGAAAGTAAATTTCCGTGATATATTTTATCGAAAAATTAATAAGTTGTGTGTGTGGAAATTGGAAAAGAATCATCATTTCTTGAGAATTGTAACTTTGCATTTGCTCACCTGGGAATGGGAATATCTTGGGGGATTTTAATCCTTTTTATGGGTTCATCAGCATGTTTTACGTTGTCTGCGATTTTAGTACAATTAAGATGTGAAATATATAAGGTGAACGTGGAGTTTAGATTGTCAATCAGGAATTAGTGCTTTCGAATTACTGATTAATTTTTCAACTTCCTTGGTGGTTTTCCTCATTGCACCTTTTTGTCCTACGAAATTGGTGGATAGTAAAAAGCATAGGTAAAAGTTGTGTCTATATGCATGGATCAGGATAAAGTTTGACCAGCTTATAAGCAATTATAATCTTTGCCAAACATGAAAAAGCGAGGTTGTAGTTGCTAAGCATATGTAGATAGTTTTAAACACAAGATACTGATAACCAATCTTTTCTCTTGCCTTACAGGTTTTGATACACTATCAACTACTGACCGAAAAGAGAATAAAAATGGTTGATCTCAACACTGTTTCCCTGTTTTTCCTCTTTCTAACTTTAACCTTCCTCTCTCTTGCATACTTCATCTTCCGGTGCTACTCCGGCCCTCCCAATAAAAACTCGTGCCCTCAATCATATCCTCTAGTCGGAAACCTTGTAGGTTTCCTCCTTAATCATCATCGCTTCCATGACTGGGTTGCTGACATGCTTTCCACGACCCCATCTCTCACAATCCAAGTTAATGGTTTTCTAGGCCTCTCCCATGGAATTTGCACAGCAAACCCTGCTAATCTCGACCACCTCCTCCGCTCCAACTTCTCGAACTATGTGAAAGGCACCAGGTTCCAGTCCATCCTTCACGACCTCCTTGGATACGGAATCTTCAATGTGGATGGCGATCTTTGGTTTACCCAGCGCAAGATTGCTAGCCACGAATTCAACACAAGATCACTCAAAACCTTCATCTCAGACACTGTCCAATATCAACTTTCAAACTCTTTAATTCCATACTTATCTACTGCCTGCAATAATCGTCATGTCATTGATCTACAAGAAGTTTTGCGTAGATTCACTTTTGACAACATTTGTAATGTTGCCTTTGGTGTTGATCCTGCATGGCTGGACATGAAGAGGGTTGGCGAAACCTCTTTGGTTTCCTCGTTTGTTCAGGCATTTGATTATGCTGTGGAGGTTAGCTTTAACAGGTTCATGCTGCCTTTGCCAGCCATTTGGAAGATCAAAAGGCTACTCAACATTGGAAGTGAAAAACGATATAAGGAAGCTATTGAAATTATAAACGAGTATGCCATGAATATCATAAGATTCAAGGAGGAAAATTGTCGAAATGATGACAAGCAAGAGAAAAATCAAGATTTGTTATCAAGGTTTAATCATTCTGCATCAAACCTTGGATTTCTTGATCAAGATCAGAAAAGGAGATTCTTGAGAGATATAGTGATCAGCTTCATTCTTGCAGGTAAAAACATTGCATTTGAAGTACTTATTTTTTGTTTTCAAGCAAGAAAATCCATCGCATCAAATTTCACACCGGCTTCATTGTTACAATAGATAGATATATTTATTCACATGACCAAAATCATTTATTCATTATGAATAATCATTTATGAATATAATCCAAAAAGTTGAGTTGTGCAATTGGACATGTTTTGCTTAGAGCCTATGAGATTCCTATTATAAGAGTGCCATGATCTGGGAGAAGTCGGGAGGAGAGGTAGATAAACTTTATCTGTTGTAGTAGCTAAAGATCTGGTTGGTTTAGATCTTCTTATGACAGAGCAAAGAACTGAATGGGGACTAGAAAAATGATTCGTGCAAAGAAGTTTGGATTCATTGAGAACAATACTCACTCTATATGTTGCTTTTTGCCAAATAGTTGTCTTATGAGTAATAACAACTTGTCTGCAGGTAAAGATTCAACCTCAACAGCACTGACTTGGTTCTTTTGGTTAATTGCTGGCCATGCTCGGTGCGAGCGCTTGATCTACGAGGAATTATCGGCCGCATCTTCAGAGGCACGGCTGGCAAGTTTCAGTTATGATGATCTGAAGAAATTCAATTACCTACATGCAGCCTTATCGGAATCACTTCGACTGTTTCCACCTGTGCCCATCAATTCAAGATTAACCATATCTGATAATATCTTAAGCAGTGGCACATATGTAGGAAAAGGTTGGTTTGCTGATTACTCCGCTTATGCAATGGGGAGAATGAAGAGACTATGGGGTCCCGATTGCATGGAGTTCAGGCCAGAGAGATGGCTGGATGATGACGGGGTTTTCCAGCCGCGTGATCAGTTTAAGTTTCCAGTGTTCCATTGTGGGCCTCGAATGTGCCTCGGGAAAGATATGGCCTATGTGCAAATGAAGTCTATCGCTGCAGCTGTTATGTATGAGTTCGAGGTTGTGGCTATTGATGGTGGTGGGTGTCCGGAGAGGATAGTGAATCCGCCTTACGTGTTATCGCTTATTCTCAAGATGAAAGGTGGATTGCCAATCAGGCTAAAGAGAAGGTGACTTCCTAAGCATGCTTGGACGTGCTTAAACTAAAATACAAGTGATTATAAGTTGTGGGCTCTACGAGATGTCTGGACAATAAGTGTGTAGTAATAATAAATTCAACAAAATGTATAGATAAAAAATATGTTTGACCACACGCGCTGTTGTATTCTACCAGCTTCCAATTAGTACCAACTTTTAAAAATCGACTCTACCAATAATGCTGAATAAATAAAATATTTTCATACGTTTAGGTAAAAAACGTTTGTTCAAAATTCTATAGAAGATCAAAAACAAGATACAAGTCAACGTTCAGTGGCATGTGATTTATAAAGGTATCCTAACATGTAGAAGCATAATGTACAATGGTAGTCATGGTAAGGTCATTTCTTCCGCGATGACAATGCTGCTGCAATTCCACCAGCCAATAGTCCAGCAGCAGTCACAGCAATGCCAATTCCAATAATTCCGTCTGCATCAATAAAAGATGTTGATTGTCTTTCACTTAAAACAAGTTATAAGCATTGTGCATTGAAGAAATAATTCAATTAAATAAGTTCGTTCTAGCATAGTCTCAGGAACAAACTTGAGTTCAACTCTTGCTGCCACCCATTTATGAAAAATTGTGCACTTTAGGTCTTTGATGAAGAAAAAACAAAAATGAATTCTACTATAACCACAGTTTACATCATTTGTGCAAAGCAACAAAAGTCATACAATGATAACGAATTCATACCACACAAATCAACCGTCTTATTCGTGTAGAAAATGATGGATATAAATCATAAGTAGGCGCAAGTTAATCACACCAGTCATGCCCTCAAACCAAATTTATTAATCCCTCTCTTAATTGTCCAAATCTCAGCAGATTCTACTATCCAAAAATGAGCCAACAAGTACAACCAGAATATAAAATCAATTGCATTTGATCCGAGCTGCAGTCAGCTGAAAACCAATAAAAGACTATGAAGCTCTGCATAAACAATCAGCCTGGTGGCTCTCGAGATGAACATAACAAAAGAAATCATACTTTTAGCAAGACTCCCTAATAAAGAGAGCTTTTTCTCCTTCCATTAAATAATCAATTCGCTCGATTCTTCTAATTTACTCATCAGTTATCCGCTTATTCGTAAGCCCTATATCGATTCACCGCCATCCCCATAACCCTCTAACATATACATACATTCAATAATAGGTACATAGTGACTTACAGACACTATGTCGGAATCACACCAAGGAATCTGATCTCCACCGGTGAAGAAACTGCCAACTGAATCGAAAAATTGCCCAATCCTCGCTTCCATTTTCAATTTGCCTTAAACTCTTTTGTGCATAGGAATTGTTTGATTTCAACTAAGAAATCTGTCGCGAATGATAGAATTCAAAGGACAGGAGAAATTTTTGAACGAAAAACTGCTGGTTTGTACCATTGCTTTAAATGGTAGTACTCTGAAACTTGGGGGGATCAAGGGCAGTGTAGTCAATTGAGCCTTGTTCGTTCTCCATTAAAATTAAATTTTATTTTTCACTCTTCTATTTTCAATCACACGATCTTTCATAAAATAATATTATACGTAAATCGAAATTTTTTTCATCTTTTTCAATCACTCATTTTTCAAAAAAAAAAAAAATACTGTTCCACCCATTTTTATTTGAAAAAATGGGGGCCAAACGGGGGACTTAATGACTTTTTCGGATTTAAAAAATTTAAGAGTATTCAATGTAAATTTTTGAGACTCTTTAAAAGTATCGATGTAATTGAGACTTTAATAGACTTCTAAGAAAATTCTAAAAGTTACGATGTATTCAATTGAAACTTTTATAGATTTTTAAAAAGTATTTAAAAGTTACGGTGTATTCAATTAAAACTTTTTAAAAGTCTTTATAAGTTTTGGCGTATTCAAATTTTAACGATTTCTAGAGACTTTTATAAAAGTTTCAGGAGTACTAACTTTTAACCAAAAAATAATAATATAAAATCTCAAAATTTGTCTTTCATTAATCATGAGATTTTAAGAAACTTTAAAAAATTATTATTTTTTCAATCTGTCTCTCTTTTTTCCTTCTACGAACATTAGAGGTATGATTAATTTTTTTTTTTTATTAATTATATTTATTTGCATTTATCTTTCTTTCTCTTATTGTTTACTCTATTTTCCATAAAAAAATTAAATTGGATTCTTGTAACTTTTTTTCCATCCATTTTTTGTGAAAAAATCTATTTTTATTAAATTATAAAATTTTATATGAGAATTTTCTAATTAAATATAAATATATTGATTTTTATTTATTTTAAAAGTATATTGTATTAGCCCTTGTTTGAACCTCATTCTTTAGAAAAAATTGAATTTTTCAACATTATTTTAATATCATTTTAACCATGTATTTTTCAATAAAATAATATTACACATAAATTTAAAACTTTTCATTATTTTTTAACCACACATTTTCCATCAATAACTATTCAAGAATTCATTATTCCCCCAAAATGAGGCTTAAACAAAGGCTTAATAATATTGAATTTAAGAAGAGGGGAAAGCAAAAGGGGAATTGTTGGAGCCAACACCTCGTACATAAAAATTTCATAACATTATATTAGATACACGTGAATTTTATTTCAAATGAAAGGTTTCAAAAATTTTTGAATTCTACAAAAGTCTATAAAAATTTTAAAATGAAAGTCTATAGAAATCTACGAAAAATTTTCATTAATTTCATACAAATCTATAAAAGATTCACTAAATCCATAGAAAATCATCACTTAAAAAAATCCATTAAAATACTCAAAAGTTCTTAATTGAATACACCCTCTAAGAATGCCTGGTTGTCGGGCCCAAGTATCTGTGTAAGCTTGAGTATTTTATAAGGCCGAATCGACACGTCGTTGTATAGGCCGCGTGTATAAAAACATGATTTTGTAATAATAATGGGAATTTTATTGCTTTGTTGAAATTTAAAAATTACAAATATTAAACCTATTCCAAACTTGTTACGTTAAATATAGGAACCAGGGTCTAGGCCAATTAGGCAATGGCCTAGGGCCTGAAATCAAATGGGGGGCCTAGAAAATAAAAGCCCAATTAAATTTATAAGATACATTTAAAAAGTACTTTAACTATTTTTATTTTTTTGTCGATTCTACCTTAGTACAATCTTATCCAAATTAATTTTTTCTCGAATTTAATATAAATGATTAATTTCGAGCTGCCAAATGAGCCCAACATTGTTACGGTAATATGATTTAATTTAAAAACTAATATTACAAATCAAGTAGTTATTTTAATGAGCTATAATTTGAATTACTTTATCCAAATTAACTTTTTCCTAAAGTCCATAATGTGTCATTTATTATAAGTTTCGGAATGAGTACAATATTGATAGGATAATTTTGATCCTCCAATAAATACACATTTGGTACAAATACATTATTGACTTCGAAACATTTTTCACTTTAATCCATCAAAATCTCAAATATATTAAAAGGTTCTTGAATCAAAATCAGAAGAATTTATTTACTTTTTTAATCACGAAATAATCATAACTCGTCACATTATTGTCTAAACATATTATTTATTTAAACATTAAGTATTTTTACATTTGTAAAAAAAAAAAAAATTACGATTAAGAGCCTCATAATGATGAGTCACCTAGGGCTTCAATATTCTCGGGGCCGGCCCTAATAGGAACTTATTGAAGAATAAAGGGAGTTGAAGGAAAAAGAGTTACTGTATAATAGGAGTATAATGCCAGTTCTGAGGATGAGCAAGATGGAGTTGCCGGATTCAGGGGAGGTGGACGAGGGGGCAAAACGGCAATAAGGATTAGGGGAGAAGATTAAATGAAAAAAAAAAAAAAAAAAAAAAAAATATATATATATATATATATAGATCACATTTTATATTATATATCTGATAATTCAATATTTGTACAAATTTCACCTAAGACTCAATTGGTTGACTCTTTTTCAACCAAGTTGGACGTGCCAGGTTTGAATATCCTGTAAAGCATTTTATGGTGCTATTTTTTTAATTCAATAATTTTTACCAAAAGTAATACAAGAGAGATGATTCGAACTTGTGACATTCTCTAAAGCTTATTGAGGAAATGACCATTATTGCATTCGTTCAGTTGTGGCAATAAATGTAATAAAATGATATATGGTCAAGTTTAGCGGCTTTATGCAATCAATTAATAGGATTTGAACTCTTGACCTTCGTTTGAAGCATACGGTGCTTGGCCACTATGTCGCTTAAATTCGTGCATAATTATATGCATAAAGTATATTTTCATTTTTATCAAAGATAATTGTTATATTTAATTTTAAATATTTTATTGCGACCAACGAACCGACCGCCCATGCTCGCTACAAATCCTGGATTTGCCCCTAGTTATTCCTAACAAACAAGGCACTCGCATCCCTGCTCAACTGTGAGTCTTGAAATCAAACTTGCTTCTAAGTTAGCACTCAAAGGTCAATCTCCATGATGCTAGAGAAAAACTTTACTTTTTTGAGGTCTATACAACATAAAAACTGTCTAATTAGGCATAATTATACGGTATAATATACAATATTTTAGTTTCTTTTTTCTTTTTAGTACAACTTCAATCCTCCTCACAACGAACATCAATGTAAATGGAGTAAGGGTGTCATTTCAAAAAATTAAATTCGAATTTTAGAGTAAAATGTTTCGCGTCAACCAATGTTGTTTCATACTCGGGATAATATCGGAGTTCTATATTTAAAAGGGATCAATCAAACATATGGATACTAGAACTCAGTACGCATTAAAAATATCACTTACATGTTAAAAATAAATGATTTTTTATCAGTGGAAGTTGAGAACGAGTAAGTTGATTAATTTGCAAGTAACTACAATTTTACTATCAAAATAAGTAATATTTCCATCAACCTTGTTGAGGCCCAAACCTAAGCCTGAGTTGTATCGTTCCACGACCTTCTAACAATTTCCGAGCTGTCGATATAAGGTGGAACGCCCACTGCAGTGCCTTTGTCACTGAACCATTCCTCCTTTTGGGTGCAGTTCTTCAAGCCCTGTGCCTCCATTGCAAGCCTACATAGCAGAAAACTTTAATCAACTTTGCTACACTGACAAGGAGGGGTTAACTGCCTCCCTAATCGAACACTCACAATAAGGGATGAGACTACTTTTTTTTAAATTTTTTATTTACGCAGATTCCACACGCACGTGAGAGGATATCAAGTCTTCTATCAATAATTTTCGGTCAACTCAGCTTAATTTAACTTTAATTGCTTGTTAGGTAAGGTATTTGCCTAGTAACAATTAGAGATATTGATACTAAGCCCCTGTTTGGTGTCCAATGCTTTAAAATTCTTTTTGCTATAGGATCAACCACATATCATATAATAAAATTTTCTACATGTAAATCCAAATTTTTCGACTTTTTAACTATACATTTGTTGGGAATCTACTTATACATGCACAGCGAAAATTAAAATTATTTCGATTCCCATCCAATAGATCTCATTGTGTTTGGTTAAGAATTGTGATAAGATTGTACATTTTCCAGATCTGCAATCCTTTTGCTTTTCTTTTCGTTCCACAACTTTGATTCGCCACCACAGCTGTCCAATTGTCCAGCCTCCAACGGTGATCCACACAGAGAATATGATTG